TGCTAAGTGAGGAAATGATTCTCTGCTTTTCTTTTGCTGCCAAGCAAGAGTATTTTCAGCACTGAAGCATTTGTGCACTGGCCTCCTCCCATCTATCCAGGACACCTGCAAGAGACGGGAAAGTGCCATAGTAGTGCTGGCCCAGCCTAGGGAGAATGCTATGTTCAGGCCCTGGCAGCCATTGTAGAGGCCGAGTGGCCCTTGGGTTCTTGAGTACTCTGCAGGCTGGTGGCTCGTGGTCCCAAAGACAGCCCTGCAGCTCTGGCTTCAGAAGAGGGCCTGGGAGGGAGATGGTTCAGTTGGTGAAGGTCTTGCTGCACAAGTGTGAGGATCTGAGTTTGACTTCCCAGCACCCACAATAAAAAAATCCCTGGGGCCTGTTGACCAGCCAGCCTAGCCAAACAGGAAAGCTCCAGGTGCATCATGAGACCTTGAGGGTCAGCAGGATGACTCAGCAGACAAAAGTGCTTGCTACACATGACCCTAGAGACCTGAGTTCAATGTCCAGAATCCCCCCCCACACACACACACATAAAGGTGGAAGGAGAGAATCAACCATACAAAGTTTTTTTCTGACCCCAACATCTATGCTTTGGCATTTACACACACACACACACACACACACACACACACACACACACACACCCACACACACACCATACGCACATTCTGATTTTAAAGAAGGAAGAAGATGGGTAGGTAGGTGTGGGTGGCAAACCAGCGAACTGGCCTCCTCCGTTTCAGATTGTTACAGCCCTGGCCATTGCGGGAACCCTTAAGTTCAACCCAGAAACCGACTTCTTGACAGGCAAGGATGGCAAGAAGTTCCAGCTGGAGGCTCCAGATGCAGATGAGCTTCCCCGATCGGTGAGCAGATGCTCCATTTTGTATGGTTAGCCACCAAAGATGTGCCTTGGCCTAGCTGCCTGGACCCATTTGAGGTGGGCTAACACTGTTTGAAGATGAGTGAGGTTTGGGGCACAGGGAAGCTTGTGATGTATGAGACGTCCATGGAGGGAGTAAGGATTCAGTGCCCAGTGTGTCTCCATCCCTTCTGTAGGACTTTGACCCAGGGCAGGACACCTACCAGCACCCCCCGAAGGACAGCAGTGGGCAGCGGGTGGATGTGAGCCCTACCAGCCAGCGCCTGCAGCTCTTGGAGCCTTTTGACAAGTGGGACGGCAAAGATCTGGAGGATCTGCAAATCCTCATCAAGGTTGGCACAAGCATCCCATCCATAAGCATTGGGCATGGCTGGGGACCTCATGGGAACAGGGGGGCTGGCTGCAAGGAGGAAGAGATCACAGCAGCCTCGGTTCCCCTTCTCCATGGCTCTGGGCTGGGCAGAGCCTGATCTAGCCAGCTGGTGTGGGGAACGTATCACGTGTGACTCGGGTCAGCTCTGGATTGACAACAGACTTCCACAGCATTCCTGTGGGTCATTACTGGATACGGACTGTTTGGGAGCTCGGCCTTTCTATGTGGTCAAGGGCCTCAGACTCATGTCTGACAATAATTTATGGGCTTACTAAGGGCTGTCCAGGCACGCCTGTGACAGCCAGTATTTAGCTCATGTGAGCTAGGACCCAGACATGACTCCTAGCTTCTGTGTCTGGCATGGAGTTGCTGATCTTCCACCCCTGGCAGCTTAGCTGAATAAGCAAACAGCTGCCTCTGCCCTCCATGTAGCCTGTCCTGGAAGAAAGTATCCTGTCATGGAGACTGCGTTTGGGGGGCTTTTGACAGGGTGGGTGATGGCCTTGCCTGAACCAGGTGGGCATGGGAACCTGAACCAGGACTCACTCCATAGACTACAGGTCCAAGGCCAGACATAACGCTCATCTTCCCTGCTTGTTCTGGTCACTGCCTAACCTGGCCTGGCCTCTTTACCCACCCAAGGTCAAAGGGAAGTGCACCACCGACCACATTTCTGCTGCTGGCCCCTGGCTCAAGTTCCGTGGACACCTGGACAACATCTCTAATAACCTGCTCATCGGTGCCATCAACATTGAAAACGGCAAGGCCAACTCCGTGCGCAATGCTGTCACCCAGGAGTTCGGCCCTGTCCCTGACACTGCTCGATACTACAAGGTGGGCCAGCGTTGTTTGGTGGAAACAGTGTTGGGAGTTGCTCTCCTGAGGGCCTGGGGGTGAGGGGGGCATACCTAGAGAAAATTGTCACCCCAGCACCCAGGAGACCCTGCCCTGGAGTCAGAGATGAGTCACAGCAGGTGTTTGGCCCCAGACCAAAGAAGGTTGAAGGAAACCATATAAAAGTGCTGCTTTTGAATTCAGTTGAAAGTAAAGCTCAGAGAAGAGCCTCAGGAGGTCTCCACACAGACCACGCAGTGAGGGTCTAAGCCAGGCCTGAGCCAGGGCCCCACCTGGTCCACCTGGTGGTTCCTCTTTGAAACTCTAGCTGTCCTGGAACTAGCTCTGTAGACCAAGATGGCCTTGAACTCAGAGGTCCGCCTCTCAAGCGCTGAGATCAAAGGTGTGCACCAGCACTGCCCCACACTACTTTTTGTGTGTATGGGTTTTGCCTGTATGTGTTTGTGCATCATGTGCATGTCTGGTGCCACAGAGGCTAGAAGAGGGCATCATATCTTAGAATTGGAGTTTGACATGGTTGGGAGCTGCCACGTGGTTCCTCTGAAGAGCCCTTTACTGTGGGGCCATTTCTCCAACCCTGGCCCACTTCTTGAAGGGCTCCAGGACTGATGTAGGGTACTGGTGAGGGTCGTCTGGCACCTCTTTGTGGCTGACTGGGACAGTGCAGATAGACGCCTAAGGAACTGGTAGTCTCCTCAGGCCCCTATCATTGACTATACAACTGAATGGCCTCTCAGCGTCATGGAGGGCCATTAGCCTCCGGCTCCGACTATGCAGCCACGGCCTTTCTCCCACTCCACCCACCCTGGGTTTGCACTGCCCATGACGGCTAGCTGCCACCCTGTCCACTGCAGATAGGCAGGCAGAACCAGCATCCAGCCTGCCTACTCCATTGGGCCTTATCTGGCCCAATTCATCCCAAATTCAGCTGCTCCTGAGCAACAGGAAAGGAATTGCCTCCCCCACATTGACTCTGCACCTCAACTTGCCCAAGGTTAGGCAGGTACAGGCAGCACCCTCCTCTGCCTCACCTCCTTGTCCCTGTTACCTGACAGAAACATGGCATCAGGTGGGTGGTGATCGGGGATGAGAACTATGGCGAAGGCTCAAGCCGGGAACATGCAGCGCTGGAGCCTCGCCACCTTGGGGGCCGGGCCATCATCACCAAAAGCTTCGCCAGGATCCATGGTGAGTTAGAACCCAAGTACTTTCCTCATTCAAGGCCCTAGGTCACCTACTGTCAGTGGCCAACTTGGGCCTGGAGTCCATGCTCCCATAGTCCACATAGCCTGTCCCCACCTACCCAACGCCAGGTTGGCATTGACTAAGTGTGCTGCCCAGAGCCTCCTACCAACACTGGTTTGGGTTCTAAGCTTGTCAACTGAAATCCGTGGCATGTGGCATGTACATGTGCAATAATGCAAAGCTGCTTGAAGTGCTACTGGGAAAAAGGGTCACTGGAACCTAGCAGACTTGGGTGTCACAGTCACTGTCTGGTTATCCCCAGTAGGACTGGGTGGGTGGGGGTCTGTCTCCCAACTGCTTTAGGGGATACTTCTGGTGCTAATAAAGGTCCCTGGGCAGAGGACCCACACTTTTGATTTCATGTTTGTCTTCCAGAGACCAATCTAAAGAAGCAGGGCTTGCTGCCCCTCACCTTCGCTGACCCCTCTGACTACAACAAGATCCATCCAGTGGACAAGCTGACCATTCAAGGCCTGAAGGACTTTGCCCCTGGCAAGGTCAGGGGACTAGGAAGGAGGGCAGACAGACCAGGGATCTCTTGGGTGGGTGTGGTCGGGACTGAGTCCCAGGAACACTCTCCCCTTCCCACCCACACCCATCTTTCCTTTGCAGCCTCTGAAATGCATCATCAAGCACCCTAATGGGACCCAGGAAACCATCCTCCTGAACCACACCTTCAACGAGACTCAGATCGAGTGGTTCCGCGCAGGCAGTGCCCTGAACAGGATGAAGGAGCTGCAGCAATAAGGGCGGGCCAGGCTGGCTGTTGTGTCCCACTCTGGACCCTGCTGGGTATCAAAAGTACAGGTCCATGTGCATCATCAGTCTGAGCTGTCTGTCCAGCGTGGCCTCCTGCTCTAAGATGGTGACCAGACCTGCTTCCTGCTCTCTCCATCCTCAGCCCAGAGTGAGCCACCGTGGAGGGCACTGAAGTTTTTGTCCCAGCCCCTGCCTTCCTTTCAGTTTGGTTCGTCTTCAACAGCCCATGCACCTGTATTTATTTTAATGACAGCACTCCCTCTAAAGAACTTTTTATCCTGCCTCATCATTTCACTGGTGGCCGAAGGATTTTAGAGAACCTTTTGTTCTGACAAAAAAAAAGATCCAAATCCATTGACTGTTCTGTGTGAGAGTGGTTGGTGTCTATTTGTTGTCTATCAGCTTGCATGCAGGGAGGATCTTTTAAGCCAAGGTCAGCAGAAGCCTCACCTGGCCTGGGTCACATCTGGCCCTCGGTCACTGCAGCAGACATGGGAGCACTAACAGAAAACACTTTCCACCCCTCCTGTCCTGCCCGTGTCCTGCAGTAGAGCGTCAGGGACCACGGACTGTCTCCTGTTCCCTTGGGACTGATGCACTAGGCCTGGTCCTCACCCTGAGAGGAGGTGCAGCACCTATCCTAAGGTGGGTGGTGGTGGCACATTTTTAATCCCAGTACCTGGGAGACACAGGCAGGTGGATCTCTGAGTTCAAGTCCAGCCTGGACTACAGGAAGATAAAAGCAGCCTGAAAAGGTATCTGCCCCCAAGTCACACCTAATCATAGATGCTGTCTCCGCAGCAGAAGGTTGCGGTAAAATAGGTTCCTCTTCCAGTAAGATGACACTACCTGGTACCCCCACATGGAAAGACCCAGGCAGGCCATTGAGGTTTGTTACCAAACAGTACTTATTACACAAATATCTTAGTGCCAGTGGGAGAAAGGACAACAGTGCTTGGCAGAGTCATTTGCTGAGACCTGGGGCATCACTAACCCCACATGATACTTGTGGTCACATCGGGACAGTGGCAACCCCAGGCTTCTTATACAGTAGACCTTAGGACAGCAACCCCATAGCCTCCATGTCCTAGACAAGGGGCTGGTTTGGCTCATTTGGGGAGGGGAGGAGTGCTCCTTCCAAATGATGGGGAAAGGTGTCTGCAGTTGGTGCTGTAGCTAACAGCCCTGGCCTTAAATCACCCGCTTGAGTGGCCTCTGCATTTACTACAGAACCGCCAAGCTCAGCTAGAGTCAGTCTGGTCTCATAAATGCCAAAGTCCTACATCTGGGAATGCTGTCCCAGGTTGGCAATTTGGTGATCTTAGATCATGATGTCAGCTGCTGAAAGGGGGGAGGGCTCCTGCTGCTGTCCTTATTTATTAGATGTTTCTTCTGTCACTGAAAACCAGACGTTCACAGGAAGGGATAGGCTGGGCCTAGCTCAGTAGTACAATACCTGCCTAACATAAAAGAGGCCCTGGGTTCCATCCTCAGCGCTGAAGAAATAAGCTAGTCCGTGTGCGGGCGAGGTTGGTAGAGCGCTTGCCTGGTGTGCACGAAGTTCCGGCTCCATCCTCGCTACCACATAAAGTCGATGTGGGGGTGCACACCTGTAACTGCAGCACTCAAGAGGTAGAGGCTGGAGGATCAGAAACTCAGTTACTCTATGCTGCACAGCAAGTGAGAAGCCAGCCTGGATCCATGAGACTTTCAAAAACCCAAAAGCAATCTGGTGCAGAGGACTTCAGGGCTGGCTCCAGAAGGCAGAGAACCAGAGCTGGGGAGGGATGGCACTCCTGGTCCCACCCAGCCTAGGTCTGGGCAGCACTCCTCAGAATTTGCCAACTACTCCACTTCTGAGGGTCTGGGCAGGGTCTTCAAGCTGGGCAGTCACTGTTAAGGTCCAGGGCTAGTTACTGGTCCACCAGGAGAGAAGGCCCAGGCCTGGCTCACTGATAGATCCCTGTCAAAGAAAAACAGGTACACTTGTCACCACTCAGCTGGGCTGCCTGGGACAGGAGGGCCTAATGGCCCACCCTAGAGCACCTGGCAGGCCCAGCACAGGCAAACGGCAGGCCAGGAGGCTGTGGAGTGACTGGGACCATGATGTTGCTCCTGCCTCAGCTCTCCAGGTTCAAGTGGGATCAGGCAATCCCTCCTCACCCCCAGACTGTCTTCCTCAGCCCCCAAAGTCGCACACAGGGAGGACCCTGCTTTTCCCTGGAACCCTGCTCTAGTCTCAACTTTCATCTCTAGCCCCTCCTTGGTTTCTTTCTCTTCAAAGATCCTCCTGTGGTAATCCGGCCTGAACTGTCCCTCTGGGAGGCAGGACAAACTCCCCCATCCTGCCCAACATCTACAGCAACGCTGTCACCCCATAGCCCAGTCCACAGAAGCAGGCTGAGAAGTGGCAGACACCTGACCTGCCAAGGAAGGTTCTAGAAGTAGAACTCCAAGAAAGCAGCCTCCCACCAGCTTACCACAAGCGTGTACGGCGCTTCCTTCTTTGGCAACTCCTCGCTGGCAGAGGCAGCCTCGGCTGAGCTGGGTCCTGTGGGGGATGTGTCCACAAAGCTCTCATCCACTACCCTGAAGCGGATCTCCTCGCCGGTGTCCATGTACAGGTCGTGTGCACCCTCCTCTGTCTCATACTCCCACACCCAGACCTGTTCTGTTTCATCACTGGAGACCAGGGTCAAGGCCATAGTCACGCTATGGAGTTCATGAGGCGGAGAGTCCTCTGAAGTACCCAAGTTCAAACCAACGCCAGGTTGAGGCCATTTCGGCTGGGGAGTCCCAGTAAAAGCTGCTTCTGCTCCTTGGAGAGGAGCTAGTTTGGCCAGGACCCAAAGTGAGAACTACATTCCCAAGTCTGGAAATGAGAATGACCAGGTCGCCACACTTCTCATTCAAGCCTCAATTAAATTGACAGGAAGGTAGATCATAGGCTTGCCCTGGTCTCCAGAAGATGAGGTAGGCGTGAATGTCACCTGCCTGAGGAAAACAATAAGGCTAGGCCAGATTTGCTGACAATTCACGGAGTCTCACATAAACCCTACCTCTGCCCTGCACAGGCCTGGTGTGAGAGAGCTAACTCTGCTCCTCCACCATAGTGTACAGAGCCACACTGCCCTCTAGTGGCACACTGCCTTCTCCATGTCATGATACTGCGGGGAGCTGTGAGTACAGTTGTGACAGGCCACCTGAGCCTCTCTCCCAAGACCACTGGGACTCCATTAAAACAGCCCAGGCAGGCAGTGGTGGCACACACCTTTAATCCCAGCACCTGGGAGGCAGAGGCAGGTGGATCTCTGTGAGTTCAAGGCCAGCCTAGTCTACAGAGCGAGTTCCAGGCAAGACAAAAAGACCCTGTCTCCAAAAAACCAAAAAAATTAAACCAACAAATAAATAAAAAAAACAACCCCAGGCTTAGGAAGAGGACAGGGGCCTCGCACTCCAGCCCGGGCTCCAAATACCAGCCCCACACCCTGGGAAACGGAGGCAGCCTGCCAAAGTGAAGCTCCTGGGGAAGATCTCGGAAATGACCCCTGCAGGGACAACTGAGTGAGGTGACAGGAGAGACCGAAGCCCCAAAAGTGTGCAGTGTTCAGTTATATCACCCAGCCTGGCAGACACCCAGCATGGGACACCATGGTCAGAGTGGGAAGCAGAGGCAGCCTGGTGCTTCACACCAGCACTGCCATCAGTGACAGATCAGAGCCCCCGGGTCACCACGGGGGGGGGGGGGGTGGGGTGGGGGGGGGGTGTCCACTTGCCCCACATTAACCTTGAAAGGATACAACTTGGCAGGCTGCTGCAATGACTCAGGAGGGATGAGAATGTCATCGAAGAACCCTAAAGAGACTGGAGGAAATGGAGAACATGATGCATGGGATGGGGACTTCAAAGGGACAGTGCAGAAGAGATGGCTGGACACTGCAAGCAAGCCCCCTTTCCTAGTGTGGCCCAGGTGTCCCCAGGGCAATCTGTCCCCTCCTGCCTCAAAGCCCCACATCTCTAACTACACTACCAACATGGGCTGAACGGCCCTGGGCAAAGCTCCAAGTACCTAGTCCTCAGCCCAGAGTGGTCACTGCACACCCAGGGACCTATAGGCACCATGAGCCTGTCGCCTCCGCCAGCTCGAGAGCACGAGGGGATGGGACACCGGTCACTTGGTGCTGTAGCTGGGCAGTTTCTCTGATTCAGCTGGATTCCTGGACCACAGGGTCAGCATACAATGCCTGCCCCACTGTGGTGGTTCCAATCTCACCCCAGAAGTTACCCCTTACCGTGCACACCCTCTGGGCTGCAACCTTTGATCTTCCCGATGAGAATCTCATCCAGGAACGGGTGGAACACCACATATCGGAAATGGACTGGGAAAGAAGGAAATATTGTTGTCAGTTACACCAGACCCTCCATGATGGTCATGAAGCCTAGGGCCGCTCATGTTTGCCCATGTCCACCTCACTGCCAGCACACTTACCCAGTGGTCCACGCCAAGTTCTCCTGTGGGTCTAGACCTGCCTGTCTGCTAAGCCAGAGGACCGACCCCCACTCACTTCTGCAAGGTCACGGCTGGTCTCCAAAGGGACCAGCAGCAGCTGCTGTCTTGGACCAAGGCTGGTTTCCAAATCCATCTCAGTCACACCTAAGCCTTGATTCTGGGCCATTAGTGACTCCAAAGTCAAGCTGGCCTTAGTAGAAGCCATACCTGTCACTGACCCCCTCAAACAGGAAGATGCTCTCTGCCATTGGCCAACTGCCCGTCTGAACTGCTGGGTCAGATGCCATGTTTTCCCCATCCAGAGGAAGAGTGACCTACTCCAACCACACAGCTCTCCTGCCCATTCTGCCTCGGAAAGCCTCTAAGCAGTGGTTCTCAACCTTCCTAATACTGCAACCCTTTAATACAGTTCCTCATGTTGTGGTGACCCACCAACCATAAAATTATTTGGGGGCTGGAGAGATGGCTCAGTGGTTAAGAACACTGGCTGCTCTTCCAGAGGACCCAGGTTCAATTCCCAGTACCCACATGGCAGCTCATAACTGTCTGTAACTCCAGTTCCAGGGGACCTGACATCTTCACAACAATGCACATAAAATATTAAAAAAAAAAAAAAAAAAGCCAAGTTTAAAAGAATAAAATAAAATTATTTTTGTTGTTACTTCATAACTGTAATTTTGCTATTTATGAATTGTAATGTAAATATCTTGATATATAGGATATCTGATGTGCAACCCAAAGGGGTCACGACCCACGGGTTGGTAACCCTCCTCTAAGTCTTTCCCTGGACAAGGCCAGCAGGCTGAATGCACCTTCCTCGGACAGACTCCCTCCTAGCACGGGCTTCTCCGGGACTCCTTCAGGGGCCCACTTTGGCCAGCTCTGTCCACCCGCCTTCCTGCACAGGTAACGAAAACCCTGAAGATGACTGGGCCTTCTGCTAACTTTCCAGAATGCAGCCAGGAGCAGACATGGATGGAAAAACACTGCCCTCCTCATAACCTAGCATTCAGCTCAAAGCTTCTGCCAGGCTTTGTTTGGCACAGGCCTACCAGGACAGGACAGCATGTAAACCAGCGCCCAGGGCCATATGTGGAAGCAAGTGGTGAGCAGCCCATGCCCATGACTAATGAATGAACAAGAGCTCAGTGGGCACACACAGTACATTAACCAGCCTTGAAAAGAGAGGCTGGAGCTGGGCATGGTGGCGCACGCCTTTAATCCCAGCACCCTGGAAGAAGAGCCAGCCTGGTCTACCTGGTGAGTTCCAGGACAGCCAGGGCTGCACAAGAGACCCTGTCTTAAAAATCCACCACCAGCCGGGCGGTGGTGGCGCACGCCTTTAATCCCAGCACTTGGGAGACAGAGGCAGGCGGATCTCTGTGAGTTCGAGGCCAGCCTGGGCTACCAAGTGAGTTCCAGGAGAGGCGCAAAGCTACACAGAGAAACCCTGTCTCGAAAAACAAAAAACAAACAAACAAAAAAAATCCACCACCAAGAGCTGGAAGGTGTGGCACACTGGTGGGATGGTGGGACACCAAACAGCATGAGGCTGAGTCCCCACCCCCGGGACCGTACTCCACTCCCCACCCCAGCTCCCTGGGTGTGTGTGTGTGTGTGTGTGTGTGTGTGTGTGTGTGTGTGTGTGTGTGTGTGTGTGTGTAAATCATTTGTTCTTAGCGAGCAGGCATAAGCAGATGTGTTCCAGGATACGTACTCCACAACCCTTAGGATGTGTCCAGTTTCTGGGAAAAGAACAAATTCCCGATTCCACTCCCATGAGGCACTGAAGTGGTCAGGTTCTCCAAGTCAGAGAGCAGAATAGGGCCTGCAAAATGGCTCAGTGGATAAAGGGGCTTGCTACCAAGTCTGACCACCGGAGTTGGATCGTCAAGACCCAAATGGTGGAAGGAGAGAACAGACCCTAACAGGCGTCCTTCTGACCTCCACCTGCACGCAGCAGAGGAAGGAGTGTGGCATGGCCCTAACGTTCCCGCAGTGCTCAGGGTCTCAGAGGACGTCCCCCTCTGTGACGGGTAGACTTAGCTGCCCAGGCCCCCAGCCTAGGGCCAGAACTGACACACAGGTCTGTGGGATATACGTAACTCAGTGCTCAGTACTTACACATCTCCCACAATGAAACCAGAGACCCAGGGTGAGCAGGGTGTGGGGGTCAATACAAACCAGTGCTGAGACCAAGCGCCAAATATTGCCAGCGTCAAGGCAGCGTTTCCTTGACGGTGATTTGTTTCTGGTGCTCCCCTCAAGTTTTCAGCATTTGCCTCCTGGACCACAGGCTCTTGTCAGCCCAAGAACAGAGCCCCGCTAGGCTCAGCCGCATTCTCTGAGAACAGAGGCCCTGCCCTGCCCTTGTCTGAGTGCAGAGCCCTGCTCAGCTTGGCACTCCTCCCTGAGAACAGAGCTCCTCAGAGCTGTTTCCACACTCTGGGCTTGCTCATGAAACCGCTTAGTGCACACAAAGACAGCCTACTTCCGGGGGCTCTCTGTGGAGCTCAACACCATGTCAATTAATTAGTCTCGGGATGCCAGCACAGACCCCAGGCTGTCTCCGCACACTCCAGAATGCTTGAGCACCCGTCCCTGGGCTGAGGCTGACCAACATGGACAAAGACAAGGTTTCACCACTGTGGCCTGTGTGTCTGTCACAGGGCTCTTGTTAAAACACTCTCTGCCTCTGCCCATTCCCTGGCTGATACTGCATGCCCTGGGCAAGCTGAGGATCATTTCCACCCAGGGCCTTCAGACAGGATGCAGAGTTCCTCCTGGCCACCCTTCTGATGGCCCAATGCAAGCCAGACTGAGGATGCCCTACACCCTCCAGGGAAGACAAGAAGCCCGATACTGACTCCGAGTACCACCTCTGCAGACTCCGCCCACTACCCTTTCACCCCCACATGCCCAGCCCTTCCAGTTTTACACTTTCCCTCACCAACGGGTATAGTCTGTCTCTCCATCCCACAGTCTTAGTCACATGACAACTTTTGGCATCTAGGCAAGGCTGAAGACTTAGGCACTGAACTTCAGACTTTTGAAACCACCAAGCCGGACATTCCAGTCCTGGCCAAGACTGCCCAGAAGAGCACCACCCACGTAACCCACAGAACCAACAGAAACAAGCAATCCCCATGCTCCCTCAGTGCCAAGGCCCCGTCTTGAGCATGACTATAATAGTTTCCTGGTCCTCCTGGCAGTCCTGAAGTACAGAATCTACTATCACTGTTAGATAGATGGCCCAGGCTGGCCTGGAACTCCTGATCCTCCTGCTTCCGCCTCCCAAGGGTTGGGATACAGGTGTGTATCACCATCCCTGCTCAGAGGCCACACTGTGGTGTGTGTGTGTGTGTGTGTGTGTGTGTGTGTGTGTGTGTGTGTGTGAGATCATCATGTGGCAATCAGAGGAAAATTTTGTGCAGTTTCCTTCCCATATCCAGTGAGTTCTGGGTATCATACTCGGGGCTCTGCATTTGTACAGCAAGCACCTTTACCCCTGAGCCCCTCGCTGGCCCCAGAGGCCAGTTCTGATTGCTGTGTCCTACCTACCCCTCCCAGTCCCTAGACCCAACTAGCCTGCTCTTTCCCTCACCTTCTGCTCTCCACCAGTAACAGCCACCACTTAGGGCCCTTGCCTAGCAGGCCACCTCACTACACACCATGAAGCAATGAGTAGCCTGAGGGCTGGACAAGTATCAGGGGGCTTCAGATGGAACCTAAGAGACCCACAGGTTAAACCACAATCTCAATCTCAAAACTGTAGCAGCCTTGAGAATCTCCCCGTCCACACTGCTGTTTTACAGGTAGGGAAACTGAGGCCCAGAGGACAAGAGTACCCATGGTCACTGAAGTAAACTCCTAGCAGAATTAGGACTTGGGCCCAGGTCCCCTGCCACTCCAAGAGGCATGGCAGCTTGATCTTTTGCTACAGAAAATGAGCCGCACCCTAGGAAATGAAGGTACCCACCTTTGGTGTGTGATGCTCCGTCCCCTGGGAATACATAGGCATCTTCCAGCTTGGTGATATCAAACAGACAGATGCAGAGTCCCACGTTGTACACGACCTGTGCATACATGTGCATACACACAGTGACCCCGGGGCCTAGCTCCTCCAAAACCCCCATGATCATAAGCAAGCTCTGAGTACCCTTTTCCTAGATGGACATGAGCTAAGACTCTGCAGGAGGTGACTGTAGCAGGGACCTCAGGACGCAGAACTCTGGAAAGAGCAGGGCCTGAGTGACAAGCCAGCTTCCAAAGCCAGCTCCACCTCACTGTGGGACCACCAAGGACTTACTTTGCCTCTCTGAGCCTCAGTTTTTCCACGTTCAAAAATGACACCAGACTGGGCGGTGGTGGCACATGCCTTTAATCCCAGCACTCAGGACGGGGAGGCAGGCGGATCTCTGTGAGTTCAAGGTCAGCCTGGTCTATAGAGTGAGTTCAGAGAGAAACTCCCTCCCTCCCACCCTGACCCCCCCCAAAAAGAGACACCAGCTGAAGTGTTGTTAAGTGAGTAGGATGGACATGAAGTATCCTGGTGGCAGGTTCAGAGACCACAAATGACCGAAGTTTACTGTCACCCCTGGAGAAGACTGGCAGTGGGAATCTCTGCTTAAACCTCTATTTCCCAATATCCCAGAGTCTGTGCTCCAGATCACAGGCAGTAAGTGTGAGAACCCCGCCACACTTACACCACACTCACACCACCTCACACACACACAGACAGGGCTCGCACAAGGATACATGGCCAAAGTCCTTCAATAGCGCAGAACCCCACACACCCCAAGCTCACACTTTGGTATCTAAATGACTTGGCTCAGTGTCTGCACATGTACCACCCCCTAGTCACACACCTCACCAGAGCTGCTCAGGGACTAGAGAGACGTCAGAGCACCTCAGAGTTGGGGCAGAGCACCCTGCAATGAGCTCTTCTGTAGAACCACAGACCTCTTCTGTGGGGGTGCCTTTCACAGGAGTCAGTGAATTGGCCTCAGCCAGGCATGGTGGTGCCCGCCTGTAATCCCTGCACCTGAGAGGTGGAGGCAGGAGCATCAGAAGTCCAAAGCCATCCTTGCCTACACAGTGAATGTGATGTCAGTTCAGCCCCATGAGACCCTGCCTCAAAAATAAGTGGGGAGGCAGTATTGGCAAAATGGCTTGGCCATCAAGGTGCGTGCCACCAATCCTGACAACTTAAGTTGGACCCCAGGACCACTTGGCGGAAGGAGAATCACCTTCTCTCCACAGTTGTCCTCTGACCTACTCACACGTGCTGTGGTGTGGACACCCACATGCAAAATAAATACATGTAATCAAATTAGCAAAGGCCAGGCAGTGGTGGTGCACACCTTTGATCCCAGCACTCGGAAGGGAGAGCCAGGCAGATCTCTGTGAGTTCAAGGTCAGCCTGGTCTACAGATCGAGATCCAGGACAGGCAACAAAACTACACAGAGAAATCCTGTCTCAAAAAACCAAAAAAGAGCTGGAGAGATGGCTCAGAGGTTAAGAGCACTGACTGCTCTTCCAGAGGTCCTGAGTTCAATTCCCAGCAACCACATGGTGGCTCACAACCACCTGTAATGAGATCTGGTGCCCTCTTCTGGCCTGCAGGGATACATGCAGGTAGAATACTGTATACATAATAAATAAATAAATATTTTTAGCCGGGCGGTGGTGGCGCACGCCTTTAATCCCAGCACTCGGGAGGCAGAGCCAGGCGGATCTCTGTGAGTTCGAGGCCAGCCTGGTCTCCAAAGCGAGTACCAGGAAAGGCGCAAAGCTACACAGAGAAACCCTGTCTTGAAAAACCAAAAAAAAAAAAAAAAAAAAAAAAAAAAAAAAAAAAAACCAAAAAAGAAAAAAAAATTAGCAAAAGAAGCCCTGGATGTGGTGGCTGTGGGAGTCTGAATAAGAATGGCCTCCACAGGCCCATCTATTGGAATGCTTAATTATCAGGGAGGGATGCTATGTGAGAAAGATTAGAAGGCTTAGGAGGTGTGGCCTTGTTGGAGGAAGTCTGTCACTGGGGTGGGCTTTGAGGTTTCAAACATCCACACCAGGCCAATCCTGTTCTCTCGTCCTGCGGATCAGGATGTAGCTCTTGGCTACTGCTCCAGCACCCCATGTGCTGACATACTCCCCGCCGTGATGATAATGAACTAAACCTCTGGACTGTTTGCAGGCCTCCAACAAAATGCTTTTTCTTAGAGTTGCCTCGGTCATGGTATTTCTTCTTGGCAACAGAACTGTGACTAAGACAGTGACGAATACCTTAATACTAGCACCTGAGCATCGGAGGCAGACAGACCTCTGTGCCTGCAAGGCCCAACAAATAAGTCAGTGAATTGGTCCCTCCACCTGACAAACCCCAGGTCTGTGTGTATACCTACCTCCTCCTCTGACCGCAGGCTCCCATAAAGGGACCACCTGCCTCCTATCTATCTATCTATCTATCTATCTATCTATCTATCTATCTATCTATCTATCTATCTATCTATCTATATATCTCCGCCCTGCTCACAGAATAGCACCTCCTACTGGCCTCTAAAGAACAATACCTGAACTCCAAAGTCCCCCAGGGCCCTGTGGTCTGCGTCTATCTACATCCCTAGACCTCCCTCACGGTTCCAGCTACACCACCCTCCTCTGTGCCCAGTCAGAGGCTACGAGCCCTCCTGCCTCAGGACCTGTGCACATGCTGGCTCAGCTCTTTACACCAACCCGCTCCAACCCTCAAACCAGAGCCTACGCTTGGTTCCCCCTCACCACCAGATCTCAGGTCAAGCGATATTTCCTCGAAAAAGCCACCAATCTCTTTGATCCCGGGTGATGCTGCTTTGTGGCCTAGGTGGGTGTGCATGCCTGCCCTTCATGCCATTCACCCCAAGCCACCAGAATATACTCAACTGTGAGACCCTTTTAGTCAAGTCCCCCCCCCCACCCCACTACACTCCAGGAGCAGAGCCTCTGTCTCCACCGCCACACTCTGGCTAAGTGTTGGGGATATTAAAGGAGTAAGTCAGAGAGGACCCTGTATCTGTCCACGGAAAGGGAAACACAATAGCCAAATAAATAACTCAGCTGGGAAAGCAACCTACCTCCTACCTCTAACCCTGACTGCTGAGTTCCATTCCAGAGACAGACTCGGTGGAAGGGCCCACAAACTGTCCTCTGACCTCTCATGCACTGTAGCACACACAGGTACACACAAACATAAAAAGAAAATGTAAAATCTTGAAAAAAAAAAAAAAACAACTAATGTTCAGATAAACAAGAAAGTAGCTGTGGTTAAGAGACACGAAACAGGGTAACTGAGCAGTCCCCACAGGAGAGTGGAAAGGCCTCTCCAGCAGGCCCTGGGGCACACTGGCATGGCCCACAGCAGGTGTGCAAAAAACTGTTTTGAGAATGAATAGACAGACTACCGTCCACAGAATGCACAGTTGACAAAAAAACAATTATCCCCGTTTTACAAATGAAAGTGAGGCCCAGAGCGGGTGACTTGGCCAAGACTGCACGGAAACTGAATGTGGAAACTGGCATTTTTCCAGTTTCTCTTTTACACACCCATTTTGGGCGCGCTCTCTCTGTTTGGTTTATTTTCTGGCCATACTGAGAATCGATCCAAAGGTCCCGCAAATGCCAAGCGAATTTAAGTACTGTTCAACACCCTGACGCTTATGTTGCCCACGTTGGCCTCGAACTCACGATCGTCACACTCCTCAACGACCCAAGAAGCTGGGATTATAGGTGTGCACTACCTCGCCCGGCCCATTAACTCCTTTGAGTACGACTGACATCCAAACCTGGTTCAGAAGTCAGAAAAGGAAAGGAGACCCTGACATGAAGTTACATGTGTGCAAGACCAAGACTGAAACCAGGCGACAACAGCCAGGTTAGCGGCGGGGACGGGGGCGGACACTGCCTGCCAGCCCGAGGGCCCAATACCTTGTTGGCCAATTTCTTGTTCAGCTCCTCGGCAATGGAGTCGTTGAGCTTCCGCTCAAACTGCCACGGCGGTATGCGCACGGTGTCCACCATCTCCACCAGGACGAACATCCTGCGCCGGGACTCTGGGAACCAGAGAGCCCGTCAAGCCCGGGGGCCTGCGAGCGGTGGGGGTCCCCAAGCCTCCTTGGTCCCCTCGCAGCCTCTGACAAGCCAGGCCAGCAGCTGGGCCGGCCGCGCGGGAGAGCCTGGGGTGCCGCTAGCGGAGGCCACGTTTCTGCATCGGAGGAAACTGAGGCCCGCTCCCTCCAGCCAGCCACCCACCCCACCCCCCAAATCCGGGGCCGCCCCGTCCCGCTCCGCGCGCACCCCGCGCGGCAGCCACGCACCATTCACGCGCTTCCAGCGGCTCCCCAGTCGCAGCGCAGGGCTCGCGAATCCGAATCCCCCAGCTTCCGGAGAACTGACCAATGAGAAGCCTCTGCCCGCCCAGGACGGGCACGGAGCTACACGAGGCTCCGGCGGGGGGCGGGGCCAGGAGGTGGGCGGGGTCGCCCGCTGTCCCCAGCTAGTGAGGGGAGAGGGGCGGGGTAGAGCGTTGAGGGGGCGGGACCTCCTTCTTAAGCCAGACAACCCCAGGCCACTCAGCGAGTTCTGGTTGCTAGGCGACAAGTCTGCGCTTCAGGCCCGGTTATCTTTGCACCGCGGCCTGAGAGATGCTTTGAAAATAAAAATATAACACGCTTAAAAATCAGTCCATAGGGCTGGAGAGATGGCTCAGAGGTTAAGAGCACTGGCTGCTCTTCCAGAGGTCCTGAGTTCAATTCCCAGCAACCACATAGTGACTCACAACCACCTGTAACGTGATCTGGTGCCCTCTTCTGGCCTGCAGGTAGAACACTGCGTACATAATAAAGAAATAAATCTTAAAAAAAAAAAAAAAAAATCAGTCCATATAGCGGCTCCTGGTGGTGCACGCCCTTAATCCCACTACTCGGAAGGCAGAAGCAGGTGGATCTCTATGACGTCCAGGCCAGCCTGGTCTACAGAGTGAGTTCCAGGACAGCCAGGGCTGTTTCACAGAGATACCCTGTCTCGAAAAACTAAAACAAAAAACAACAAACAAACAAAAAAAGAAGTTACATGTCTTAACACATGTAAGACACTAGTGTCCCTGCCTACTGCTTAGAACCAAAGTATTTCAGGTGACTGACAGAGGTAAGAATTAGTTAGCTATGCTCTTCGTGATATCAATGGGTAGCTTGTTTTAAACTTGTATGTGTATGAGGTGTTTTGCCTGCGTATGTGTAAGTGCACCAGAAGAGGCCCTCCAATCCCCTGGAACGAGAGCTACAGTGAATTGTGATCCACCGCTCTTCACTGCTGAAGCATCTCTCCAGCCCCAACAGAAAACTTCGATTGAGCTCTTACTCTATGTTAAACCTTGTCTCAGTGCTTTGCAGGTGCAGATGCTCCTAGCCCAGTGGTTCTCAAGCTTCCTAATGCTTTAGTCCAATTCCTCATGTTATAGGGACCCCCAACCATAAAATTATTTTGTTGCTCCTTTGTAACTGTAATTTTGCTACTGTTATGAATCGTAATGTAAATATTGGATATGCAGGGTATCCAGTGTGGTGGTTTGAAAAAAAAAATGGCTCCCAAAGGGAATGGCACTATTAGGAGGTGTGGCCTTGTTAGAAAAGTATGTCACTATGGGGATGGGCTTTGAGGTCTCCTATGCTCAAGCTATTCCCAGTGAGTTAGACCGCTTCCTCTTGCCTATGCAAAATATAGAACTCTCAGCTCCCTCTCCAGCACCAAGTCTGGAGCCTGCAAGCAGCCATGTCCCACCATGATGCTAATGGACTTAATCTCTGAAAATGTGAGCCACCCCAATTAAATGTTTTTCCTTTATAAGAGTTGCCGTGGTTATGGTGTCTCTTCACAGCAATAGAAACCCTACCTAAGACCCCCAAAGAAGTCAAGACCCACAGGTCGAGAACCACTGTCCGAGAGTGTGATGGGGTTATACCCTGCTAAACTCATCACAAATGTAGACAATTAAACCACCTAATACTACAGGTTAGTTAGTCCAGACTTACATGTGCTCGGAAAACACTCTAGCCACGGCTGGAAAATAATCGAACAGAAAGCCTGTTGAACTTATTTTCTTATTTTAATGTTTTAGACTTGCATATGAAGTAATGGATTTCATCATGGCATCTTTATATCTGTCTTAGTCGAGGTTTCTATTGCTGAAATGACTCATGACCAAAAGCAACTTGGGGAAGAAAGAGTTTCTTTTGCTTGCATATTTTAGGTCACAGTCCACTGAGGGAAACCAAGGCAAGAACTCAAACATGGCAGGGACCTGGGGGCAGGAGTTGATACAGAGATCGTGGTAGAGTGCTGCTTACTGCCTTGTTCTCCGTGGCTTGCTCAGCCTGCTTTCTTGTAGAACCTGGGACCATCAGCCCCGGAGTGGCCTCACCCACAATGAGCTAGGCCTCTTATATCAATGACTAATCAAGATGTCCTAGGGGCTGGGGATTTAGCTCAGTGGTAGAGTGCTTGCCTAGCAAGCACAAGGCCCTGGGTTCGGTCCTCAGCTCCGGGGAAAAAAAAAAAAAGAAAACAAAAGAAAAAAACAGAAGATGTCCTACAGGCTTGAATACAGTCAAATCTTATGGAGCATTTTCTCAATCTAGGTTGACTCCTCTCAGGTGACTCTAGCTTGTGTCAAGCTGACATCAAACCAGCAAGCACAGTACCTATGTGTCCTTATTCTGTGTTCACATCCCTTCCCCTCCATACTGTCCCTCCAGCGTCCCTTCGCCCTTTCCAGCTGACGCCCTTTCTCCTGCAGTTAGTTCCGCTCTCTGCTTTCCAGTTGTGAGCACTCCCTTGTCCTGTCCATTCCCACTTCCATTACCATCTCTTCTCAGCTGGGCCTGGTGGCGCACACTTTTAATCCATGACTCAGGAGGCAGAGACAGGTGGGTCTCCGTGTGTTCAAAAACAGCCTGTTCTACATTTTGAGTTCCAGAAAGAGCCAGAGGTAGTGAGTCTCAATAAATAATAATAATAATTATTATTATTTGTTTATTATTTGTTTATAATGCAAGGATCCAACCCAAGGTCTCGAGCATCCCAGGGAGTGCTCTACCATCTAAGATATATCCTCAACATTGTTTATGGGAGGTCTTGCAATATTGCCCATGCCGGTCTCCAATTTTGGATTCAAACCATCCTCCAACTCAGCCTTCTGAGTAGTTGGGATCACACACACATAACAACAAGCTCAACTGCTTTTGTACTATCTTTTTCTTTAATTTTCTTTTTTCTTTTCTTTCTTTCTTTCTTTTTTTTGTTTGTTTGTTTGTTTGTTTGTTTTTTCGAAACAAGATTTCCCTGTGTAGCTTTGCAGCCTGTCCTGGAACTCACTCTGCAGACCAGGCTGGCCTCGAACTCACAGAGATCCACCCTTCTCTGCCTCCCCGGTGCTGGGATTAAAGGCGTGCGCCACCACCGCCCTGCTTAATCTTAAGATCACATTTGTGTGTGGGCACACACATGCTATGGTATAGATGTGGAGGTCAAAAGACAACTTGCAGGGTAAGTTCTCTCCTTCTATCACGTGGGTCTTGGGGATTGAACTCAAGCTCTCAGCTTAGTGACAAATACTTTTACCCTCTAAACCATCTAGCTGACCCTGTCTAATTTTTTAAAACATTTCAAAATTACACTTTTATTTGTGTGCACACATGCCTTGGGTTAAACTGGGTAAAGGGCACAGTTACACATCAGCTCAGTGCACAATGGGTCTGAAGGGCTGGAGAGGGCAGGAAGACTAGAAAAAAAGGATTATCTGTGGTCTTGGGTGGAGGAGCAGGAAGAGGAGGAGAAGGAGAGACGACAAGAGACAGAAGAGTTGGTCAGAGCGAGGAGGCCTTAGGCGCTAGGAGATGGACAGCTTAGTTTCAGGGACAGAAGTAGGTAAACCAACACCTGAGGGCTTCAGCTATTAGCTGGATGGGAGGTTAAAACAGGGTGAGTGAGTAGGGAGGAAGGGGGGCAGGGGACAGGATGATGAGCTTCAGAGCCCAGGGTTTCAGAACCCAAGCCTCTTTTGTGGGATTCAGCTCAATAATTTGTTGGCACAAAGTTTTGGTCTACACTTTAGTTTAAGAAAAAAAAAAAAAAAAAAAAAAAAAAAAAGATCTGGCCTCTCAACTAACTCTCAGCCTTGCTCCATGGATGGTTGAAATGGTTTACTGAATACAAATGACCCAGTCTCCAACTCCCCGGCAGCAGAGGACCATTGTATGGCTTCTCTCCGCAACATCCGGGCCTAGATCAGTGCCTGGCATATGGCCAGGACTTGAAAACATGGCTCATTTCAATGAACAAAAGGGCAACAGAATTGTGGTCGCCAAGAGGAAAAGAGCGAAGGCGGTAAAAAGCTGGGAACAAGCCTGTGTGTGAAAAGAGTCTAGTGGAGAGGCGCAGGGCATGGCACTCCCACGACACAGCACAGGAACTGGGCACTGGTGGCCAGGACGGCGCAGCTCCGGGTGCCCCGCACTGCCCTGCCGAACAGCACTAATGACAGAAATGGTTTCAAAGGCGTCTGTAGCTGAACAAGCTGGAGCACACTTATAATCCTGGCCCTGGAGAGAATGAAGCCGGGGGGGGGGGGGGATCAAAAGTTCAAGGCCAAACTGGGCTACACGAGACCTTATTTTTAAAACAAAAGACAGACTGTCCTTTGGTTAAAGCAATATTGAGGAAAAGAAAAGACATATATCTTTTAACAGAAAGCTGTAAAGCCACAGAAAAGAATGATGATTATTGCTGTGGAATGGCATTCGAGATTGATTGTGAAATCTAAAATCGCAGGAATTGTAATGGAGTATGCCTGTAGCCTCTGCCACTCTGGGGCCTGATTCAGGAGCATCACTTGTGACTAGGAGTTCAAGGCCAGCTAAGGTAATATAACCAGGCATGACTGTACCAAAAGAAAGTTAAAATTTGGGCGTGGTGGCACATGCCTTTAATCCCAGCACTTGGGAGGCAGAGCCAGGCAGACCTCTGTGAGTGTGGGACCAGCTTGATCTACAGGGTAAGTTCTAGGAGAGGTAGGATTACATAGAGAGATCCTGTCTCAGAAAATAAAAAAGCCAGCCGGGCGGTGGTGGCGCACGCCTTTAATCCCAGCACTCGGGAGGCAGAGGCAGGCAGATCTCTGTGAGTTCGAGGCCAGCCTGGTCTACAGAGTGAGATCCAGGAAAGGCGCAAAGCTACACAGAGAAACCCTGTCTCAAAAAAAAAAAAAAAAAAAAATGTTCTGAGAAAATAAAAAAGCCAAATACTCAGTGATGTTGCCTATTTATAATACCAGCAGTTAAAACACAGAAGCAAGCCGGGCGGTGGTGGCACACACCTTTAATCCCAGCACCCGGGAGGCAGAGCCAGGCGGATCTCTGTGAG